CTAAGCTAGGCTAGGCTAGCTAAGCTAAGCTAGCTAGCTAGCTAAGCTAAGCTAAGCTAAGCTAAGCTAAGCTAAGCTAAGCTAAGCTAAGCTAAGCTAAGCTAAGCTAAGCTAAGCTAAGCTAAGCTAAGCTAAGCTAAGCTAAGCTAAGCTAAGCTCGGGGAACCCAGGGGGCGCAACCGGGGGAACCAGGGGGGCGCAACCGGGGGAACCGCCCGGGGTGAGTTACACTGCCCGCCCCCTTTAGCACACAAAGTAAGAACCCTTCTAGGCAGAGCCTAGGTAGGGAAGAAATGGCCTCTTGGAGAGGACAACTGCGGTCGGCTGCCCCCTGGGGTGCCAGGTCGGCGCCTGGTCAGGTGCGTCGGGGCAGGTTCGGATGGGTAGCCGTCGGCGGAGCCAAAACAGTGCCAGCAAAGCGCCCGCGGTCACGGTGCGGCGTGGCGGGGCCCAACGGTGTGCAGGGGTTGGGGCGCCATCGCCATGTACGAGAGCGCTTGTCCCCTCTCCCGTCACTGCTGTCGTCACCGCCACGCTTGCCCGCGGCCTGTCAATCGTCGCCGTCCCAGGCCTGCGACCAGGACCAGGAGTCCCAGACCCAGGGTTGGCGGGAGCTTGTGGAGTGTCCCTTGTGCTGTGGGGCGATGGTGCCCTGGTATCCTGGCCACTTGTCGCGATCCCGTTCCCATCTGATCTGGAGCCCATGTTTGCGGCCCATCTCGCATGCGTCATACGCGCAGCGCTGCCAGGCGTCAAGGAAGGCGCGGCATGCGCCTTCAGGGTTCAGCGCGGGGTCGCTCTTCGGGCCGTTGGCCCCTGCTGGGTGCCCGCGGGTGTAGGCATGCCAGGTGCTGCTGAAGACCCCCCCCTGGGGTCTTTTGGAGGCGGGAGATATTGGTTGCGGGTGTTTCCGCGATCTTGTCGAGGTCGACATTGCCCAACCGTTCCTTGTACACGGGACCCCCTTCCGATGGGATCGACAAGGTCGTCAAAAACCCGCTTCGAGCCTCATTCGCGGGGGTTGGCGAGCGGCGGTCTCGAGCTGGCTGTTTGGGTCGGGGCTGAAGGCCTGGAGCGGGCTAACTGGAGCTGCCTGGCTGGAAGTGACGATCGCGCCACCACAGGGGGGGAGGGAGAGCGACTGTCTGACGCTGCTGCTGGTGAGCTGCTGTTCTCCAGCTTGCAAGCAGGGGAGGGTTGCCTCTGCGGAGGGTCGTGTGTCACCTTGGGCGGCGGGCTGGCACTGACGTTACCCCTCGGTTGGCGTCGCTCGGGCGGACCCTCGCTGAGGCGTCGCGCGTCTGATCCGAACGCCCCCAGTGGGTCGTCGGGAGGGCTGCCGCCGGTTGCTTCGTCTGCTGTCCTGGTCGATGGAGGGGGCGGGGAGCCCTCAGGTCCGACCGAGTCGTCTGCTGCTCCGCCAGGGGGAGGTGCGGGAGTCGGGGGGGCGACGTCGCCCTTGTCCTCGTCGTAGTCTATCCCGTCGATGTCCGCCTTGACGGCGGGCGCTGGGCTCGTCGGGGAGCAAGTTTCCTCTCCGTGGGGAGAGGACTCTGGCACGTCAGGGCCTGACGCCAGGGGGTTAGGGTCTGCCCCGGGCGCGGAGAGCCCGACACCACTGCTGGCTGCGCTGTAGGTGGAGACACCGCCGCTGCAGCTGCGCGGCCGGGCTTCGGCTGTAGCCAGGCGTTAGCTTCGTCAATGTATGGGGCCAAGGGGTCCTGCTCCGCCAGGGTGGTGATGGAAGTGGCTGCGAGTGTGCCAGAGTCCAGGCTGGCGATGAAGCTGGCGAGGACGGTGAGGTAATGGCGGAAGGGGTTCGGCCCCCTGGTGGAGGCTACGCTCTGGTGATGGATCGTCCAAGCACGTTGGTGCTTGGAACTGTGGAGCAGGTGCCCAACCACCCTGGCCGCCGCCCACCTCTTGCCTTCCCAGGTGGCGCCGTCGGGAAATCCGTTGTCCGGGACCTCGGGGCCGTACACCTTACGCAGGAAAGGGGCCAGCGGGCGAGCCGACCACGAGGTCTCAAGGTCGCTCGGGGCTGGAATGTCGGCGTCGTAGTCCTTGACGAAGTCCCTCCACTTGTCGTCCAGCGTTGGGTGGTAGTCCCGTAGGTAAATGACCAGAGTGTGGTGGACCTCTTGCTGCTTGTTGCGCCGCCCATGTTTGGGCTCGCTTCATTCTTCGAGGGATAGAGCTGCAACGTTCCTGTGACCTAGCTTGGGGACCGCTGGAGGACGTAAGTCTGGGAGGAGGGCCAGGATCTCGGCGACCGTGCGCCGGTTCGAGCCGTTCTGTGGTCCAGCTGGTGGGGTTAAGCGAAGCGTCTAGAATTTAGCGATACTTAAGTCCTTGTTGCCTTTTTCCGGCATCGCCGTTATAATGATGTTATTCGTTTTCATTCCTCCATGCTTCTTTTCCTCATACTCGCCATACCCTGCGTATTCTCCCCATCCTCCTCAGCTCTTTTTGCGGAGGCTCCTCTTTGAAGAGCCTCTAGGGGCCTCACACAAGTTTTTCAAGCGTTCCTAAGGCCTTCTTGAAGCCTCCTGGGCGTGTTCTGGGGGCCTCTGGGGGCTTCCTCGGGCCACCCTGCCTCCAACCGCGGTCTCCCTGAACGACAGGGTCACGATTTGGAATGCTTCGGAGGGTGTCTTGGGGCCATCTTGTGCCGCCATGGGGCCCTCTCAGGGCCATCTTGTACCCCTGTTGTGTCGTTTTGGGCTCGCTTGGACTGCATGGAAGCCATTTCAGATGGTTGTGGGGCGATTTGGGAGCCTCCCAGGCGGCTTCGGACGCCCAAGAGACCGCCGTTTTGGAGCGTCGGGAAGCCGGAAAAAGGAGAACCCCAAAATTCACCAAAACGCAGAGAAAATCAATGATCTTTGCCCCTTGGGGCATTCTTGGGAGTGCTCTTGGAAGCCTCTTGGTACGTTTCGGAGCGATCTGTGGGGGTATGACGGCTTCTTCGGGGTCGTCGTGGACCGTATTGGGGCTCTGTGGGGTCGTTTCGGGAGCGAGCCTGAACGCCTGGAACCCGTCTGGGGCCGTGTTCGGGCTCTCGTGACGTTCTTCTGGGTCGTCTGAAGGGTTGCCCAGAGGCCCGGGCAGGACCAAATTCGCTAGGGGGGGCGCTTTTTCAGGCGTCCCCGGCCGTATAAAAATATATGAATACGTATATATGTATGTATGTATGTATGTATGTATGTATGTATGTATGTATGTATGTATGTATGTATGTATGTATGTATGTATATATATAATATGTATAATTTGCGCAGACATCGTGCTTGGAACGCGTTGCTGTTGTCCGTCTGCCTTGCGCAAGCACGCCGCCTCCAAACTGAATTGAAATGTTGTCGCTGCGCATGCTCTGACAACCTAAGCATTCCTATGTATTGTAATGCTGGCGCGCTTCCATATCATCTTCAAGGGATCAAGCAAGATTGCTCGGGGTGGTCACGGAGCCTCTGGGATACCGCCGAGAGGCCCAAATCAACGATAAGCAATCAATGGTTGTATGAGTTCGGCGTTATCGCCCCTTCGCTTCCGATTGGTCTCTGAAGCCTCAAGGTGGCCACAAGGTGGTGGCAGTGGAGTTTTTTTTTTTTTTTTTTTTTTTTTTTTTTTTTTTTTTTTTTTTTTTTTTTTTTTTTTTTTTTTTTTTTTTTTTTTTTTTTTTTTTTTTTTTTTTTTTTAAAAAAAAAAAAAAAAAAAAAAAAAAAAAAAAAAAAAAAAAACATATATATATATATATATATGAAAGGGCTCAAGGAAGCCCCCACCAAAAATAGAAGTTCGTGAAGAGAGACTTCGGAGGAGCGGCGATTTTTCGGGCTCTAGAGAGGGCAACCTGATTGCGATGGCCTCCAGGACAACTCCGAGAGTGCCGAAAGGCCCCCGAAGGGGGGCCCAGCAGAGTCCCGAGAGGGCCTCAAAGGCTTCCGAAAGGGACGCGAGAAAGCCCCAAGACCGATGCGAGAGGCAGTCAAGAAGCTCACCTTTGCCACCAATGTTGTCAGTGTTGAAGGCAGCCAACATGTGCGTAAAGTCACCGACCTGCAAAGAGCGACGAGGGAAACCCCGACACGAAACGTCAAAGATTTGCACCATGTGCTCACACGATGGTGTCGGCGCCTGTTAGGCGCGGGAGTCTCAAGAGGTAATTACGCGCTGAAGAAGAGATCATGCCGACGAGTCGCCGACGAGGTGAACTGCTCGGTGGATACAGCAGCAGCAACAACAATTGCTGGGAAGTACTTCAGACGGTAACACATGTGCAAGCCACTCGGCATGGAATGCAGAGTGCAAGTCTCCAACCACGAGAACTCTGATTTTTAGTGACACCAAATCAATGTTCCACATAATGAACATGGCGCTTGCGTGAAGAACGTTGCAAGCAATGCTGACGCGCTCACCAGCTGGGACGTCCAATGCCAAATGTCCATACGTAAATGGCGACACGATGTCCCACAGTGGGCCCCTTATCGGGCTATCTCGGGCGAGCAAGATCGTCAGCCAAAGTCCATGGGCGCTGCATGCTGCGATGGCGCCATCGCGCTGGATCGGAACTGCAAGCATCAGATGGCAAATCCAGTATGAGCCTGACCCGTGCGCAACCGTGGACCATCGCAACGCCCAGGAACGCGACGACCGCTGGCCATAGACATGCCGTCGCTCTGGACCGAAGAGACCATGCGAATATGTCTCGCCGGGGCGGTGACATGTCCGACCTCCGCCACCCGCCGCAACTGGGCCATCGCTCCAGGCTGGGACGGCCACTGATCCTAATGGGCGAGAGGGAAGGGTCGAGGATCTCCAGCCTCGCTGCCCTCAGAGCCCTCCCGGGGCGGGCCCCGGCCAGAGGCTGGAAGGGCCCAGCTGTGGAGACAGGAAGCGAGGAGAGTCCGGAACCTCGGGCCTCAAAGGGCCTGGGACCCCAGGCTCTCGATCCTCGGCAGAGGCCTCGACGCTGGAAGGCCCGCACGAAGGCCCAGGTCCTGAGCTGCGCACCCTGGCCAGCGGTACCCGGGTGCAGGAACGCCACCGCGCCCGTGGCCGCACAGGCGGCGGCGCCTGCGGCGGCCATCTTGCTGAGCGCACCCATGGCGGCGGCTGTGGTGAAGGCGCCTCCCCAGACCCTCCGTCCAAATCTCCGACGATCTGTTCGCTTTTTCGGATATGGGCGTTTGTCCTCGATTTTGGACCGTGGGGCTCGGTATCGGGCCCCAGGACTGCCAAACACGGAAACACCTCGGAGAATTTTGGTAATTTTCGGCCTCTGGTCGTCTACACGCAAAAGCGGCCCTAAATGGGCTAGACTGACCTTGGGCGCGCAACTTCAAGGGGCCAAAGAGGGGTAAATTTAAGCGAGAGGTGACTTCTTCTCGTAGCCGATCTTGGGGCTCTCTCCCGGCGCCAGGACCGTCAAAAATGGCTCAGAATGAAACGCTGGCCCCGAGACCTCGGGGGGGGGAGCATGTTGTGAACAAGTCGCGACGTCGGGGGTCTGGGGCGGCAGCGGTGGAAGCCGCCTCACGGTCGGTCAACCGGTCGGTCGGTGGAAACGCACTCACGATCTTGGGCCAATGGCGTCAGCCCCGATCGGCCCCGACCAGCTAGCTCACCAAGAGAAAGCCCTGGCGCGAGTGCCGCCAGCCCTGTCTGGCCCCCGTGTGGCCCCCTGCTGTTCTTGCGCAGACCTCCGACGGCTTGTTGTCTTTTCGGTCCTGGCGTTTGGACTCTTGACCGTCGTCGAGCCCCAGGACAATGAGACACGAATCTCCCCCTGGGGGAAGGGGTCGGGGCCTCTTGGGCCCGCGGATTGACAAGATGAGCCCGTCGGAGGTGTGGATATCTGGCAGGTGTGTTCAGGGACTGCGCAAGCCGAGCCTGAGCGGAGAGGGCCACCGTCACGTGCTCCAGCCTCTGCTGCTGCAGCTGCTGCTGCTGCTGCTGCTGCTGGCCTCATCCACAGCATCCTCATGGATAGTCCCCAGGAGGCCAACATTCGCCGACCCCTTGAGGTTCCTCGGCGTGTGAGACGACTGCTCCTCCCCAAGCCCCTCCCTGAGGAGCCTGGCCCTTTAATTTGGAGGGGGGGCGCCAGGGCCGGCAGACTCACCGCCAGGGCCAGCGAACTCATCGGGCCCTGGAAAAATCCCAGGCGCGCGCAACTCGTCCGAGAGGCCGATAAGACTGGCCAACATGGCCGCAAGACGGCTCCAAATGGCCTTGAAATGGCTCCAACACGGGCAATTACGGCCTCCGGACGGCCCAGGATGCCCCGGAGAAGGCCCAAGAAGGCTCCAAGAGGACTCCCAAGAGGGCTTCAAAAACAGTCAGGGAATCAAATCACTCGATTTTTGTGTATGTTCTTCAAAGATGTTGCCGTTCTCGGCATTTCGGGCTTCTGGCAGCCCAAGACTGCCCAAGAGGTCTACAAGATGGACGCAAGACGACACAAGACGCCCCCCCCCCCCAAAGGCCCCAAGACGGCCCAAGAGAGCCACAGGACGGCCCAAGAGGCCGCCAAGACGGCCCCAGAAAGTCCCAAGACGGCCAAGAGCCCTAAGACAACCTAGAAGGGCCTCCAAAACGCCTCCCAAATGCGCCGGACGGTCCAAGCGCGCCCGAAGATGGCCCTAGACGCCCCCGAGAGGCCTCAAAGAGGCCCCCAAGAAGCCTCAAGATGCCCCCCAGAGACCACCCAGAAGCTTCCAAAAGCTCCCAGGCGTCCCTCAAATGCCCATGCCCCAGGCTTTCTGGACATTTCCCAGTTCCCCATGACAAGCAACGAGAATACCCCCAGGGGGTCGGCGGTGCGGCGTAAGTCAATGACTCATCGAAGCAAGCTGTTGACTGATGCTCGCCCCATCACAGCGCGGCCGCCTCCGAAGCGCTAGCGGTCGCCCACGCGTTCGGGAGCCGGCGGATCGCACCGCGCCGCTGGCACACTGGTGCAGGTGGACAAGAGGAGAGCGGCCACGGAGGCAGTGAGAGGGCTTTGCTCCCAACCATCCTGTGGAGTCGGGTCCTCGTTCTGAAGAGACAGCTCCCCGGAACCTCACCTTCCTCCTCGCCCCCCGTCCTCCCCCCTCTCATGCTTGCCCTCCGCATGTCCCTGTTTCGGCACGCCCCTTACAAGCTTCGTGTCTCTGTGGAAAGCTCCACCAAAAGCCCCAGGGACAGAGTCTACGTGCGCCCGCGCGATTAATTCCGGCACACCCCTCAGCGATTCGTGGCCCCTGAGGGAGCCCCGCGAAAGGCCCCAGTGGCAGGGTTTACGTGCGCCCGCGCGACCCATGTCGTCACACCCCTCACACGCTTCGCGGCCCCACAAGGAGCTTCACCGGAGGACCCCGTGGCAGGGTATACATGCGCCCGCGCGACCCATCTCGGCACACCCTCACACGTTCCGTGGCCTCATTGTGAGCTCCACCGAAGGCCCCAGTGGCAAGGTGTACATGAGTCCGCGCGACTCATTTCGGTACACCACTCGCACGCTTCGTGGCCCCATGGGGAGCTCCACCGAAGGCCCCAATGCCTAGGTTTACATGCGGCGTCCGCGCGCCCCATTTCGGCATGCCCCTGACAGTTTCTGTGGCCCCATGCGGAGCTCCACCGAAGGCCCCAGTGGCAAGGTGTAGACGCGTCCGCGCAATTCATGTCGGCACACCCCTTACACGCTTCGTGGCCCCAACGGGAGCTCCACCGAGCGCCCTAGGTGCAGGGTATACACGCGTCCGCGCGACCCATATCGGCACACGCCTCACACGCTTCGTGGTCCCATGGGGAGCTCCACCGAAAGCCCCAATGGCAGGGTTTACGTGCGTCCGCGCGACCCACGACGGCACACCCCTCACGTGTTTCGTGGCCCCATTGTGAGCTCCACCGAAGGCCCCCGTGGCAGGGTCGACATGCGTCCGCGCGATTGATTTCAGCACACCCCTCACGCGTTTTGTGGCCCCATGGGGAGCTCCACCTAAGGCCCCCGTGGCAAGGTTTACAAGCGTCCGCACGACCCATGTCGGCACGCCCCTCACGTACTTCGTGGCCCCATAAGGAGCTCCACCGAAGGCCTCAATGCAGGGTCCACAAACGTCCGCGCTATTCACTTCGACACACCCCTCACACACTCCGTGCCCTCATACGGAGCTCTACCAAAGGCCCCAATGGCACACATGCGCCCGCACGACCCATTCCGGCACACCCCTCACACGTTTCGTGGCCCCCTTGGGAGCTCCACCGAAGGCCCCAGCGGCAGAGTCCACATGCGTCCACGCGATCCATGTCGGCACACCCCTCACACGTTTCGTGGACCCATACGAAGCTCCAGCGAAAGCCCCAATGGCAAGGTCCGCGTGCGTCCGCACGACTTACTTTCAGCACTCCCGTGATACGTTTCGTGGCACCATAGGGTGATCCACCGAAGGCCCCAGCGGCAGGGTCCACAAGCGCCCGCACGACCCATTTCGGCACACCTCTCAAACGCTTCGCGGCCCCATGGGGAGCTGCACCGAAGGCCCTAGCGGCAACATTTACATGCGTCCGCGCAATTCATGTCGTCGCACCCCCCTCGCACGTGCCGTGGCCCCACGAGCTCTACCGAAGGCCACATCGGCAGGGTCCACATGCGTCCGCACGACCCATTTCGGCACACACACACACCTCACACGCTTCATGGCCCCATAAGGATCTTCAACACACTGCGTTGCTCACTGATCCATTTGGTTGCGTCCCTCGCTCAGATAATTTCCCCCCGCGCTGCGTTGCAGCCCATGGAAGTCGGACTCACTCACCTTCGCCACCCATATCTTCCTAAGCCACGCGGGAGCCCGCTGCCACTGCTCGCCCGTCTCGCAAATGTGGTTTGCGCCGCTGTAGCTGATTCCCCACCTAGGCTCTGCCTACAAGGGTTCTTACTCGGTGTGCTTAAAGGGCCGGGCAGTGTAACGCGCCCCGGGCGGTTCCCCCAGTATCCGCCCCGCGCTTCCCCCAGCTACGTCCCCTTAGCTTAGCGTTGCTTATATCATCTTAGCTTAGCTTATTTCATATTAGCTTAGCTGAGCTTCATCTTAGCTCAGGCTTATCTTAGCTAGCTTACCTTCATCTTAGCTTCGCTGAGCTTTAGCATAGCAAAGCACAGCATAGCACAGCGTAGCATAGCATAGCGCAACATCGCATATCATCGCATGGGTGTAATTCCCTACCTAGGCTCTGCTTAGAAGGCTCGCTTAGCTTAGCTTAACTTAGCTTGACTTAGCTTAGCTTAGTTAACTTAGCATAGCGCAGCGCTGCATTAGCATAACATAGCATAGCATAACATAGCCAATCATAACATCGCATAGCGCAGCATATCATAGCATAGCATAGCATAACGAAGCATCGCATAGCGCAGCTTAGCATTGCATAGCTAAGCTTAGAGGGCCAGGGAGTGGGACTCGCCCCGGGCGGTTCCCCGGCATCCGCCCCGCGGTTCCCCCAGCGACGTTCCCTTAGCTTCGCGCTGCCTATCTCATCTTAGCTTAGATTATTTCATCTTACCGTAGCTTAGCTTCATGTTTCTTCAGTTATATCTTAGCTTAGCTTACCTTCATCTCAGCTTTGCTGAGCTTTAGCATAGCATAGCAGAGCACAACACAGCATAGCGTAGCACAGCACAGCGCAGCACAGCAAAGCCCACAATAGCACAGCATAGCATAGCATAGCATAGCGCAGCACATCACAGCATAGCACCGCGCAGCACAGCAGAGCATAGCATAGCACAGCAGCAAAGCAAGGGCAAAGCAACAGCAGCGACAGCAAAGCAAAGCACAAGCAACGCAAAGCAAAGCACAGCAAAAGCAAAAGCAAAGCAAAGGCAAGGCAAAGCAAAAACAATGCGCGACAGATGCCGAGCTGGCCTCGATGGCCGGACCGGAGCCCCCGCAAGCAGTGCCTTCCGTAACCATTTCGGCTCAAGTCCGGAGGCCCCTGCCGCACAGCCGCCCGCGCTCATGTCCCGAGGTTGGCGGAGCGAGGCGTTCAGCGGTGCTGCGGAGCCCGCCTCGGCACCAGGTGGTGCTGCGCAGCCCGCCCGGCCTGTTGTGGCCATCGATGCGGGAG